CGACCTCCCGCACATCAGTCCAGCGCTCTATCCATTGAGCTAACCAGGAGGCGCTTAGTTCAATGGAAACGTCGAACGTTTCCAGACAAAATGTATGAATTGAATTTTAAACAATTTTGACCACACACTCATAACGACAATAATAATAATAGTAATAGTGAAATAACACCCTGCCTAACACCTTAGTTACACTATGCATGTCTTGTTATGCAACGACAATCACCTTGATGTAAACAGAGGTGAAGAATTCATCTGGCTTTAGCGTAAAGACTGAGGGGGGAAATAATGTGTTCTGTTGCTTGTATAGTAGTACAGTTTGGGAGGGGATACAAGACAAGAATCGACACAAATGTCGCTATATCTGAATGTCAATGACCGTAGTGATCATGACCGTATTTAGACGTCTTCACAAGTAGTAGTTTCAAATGCATAACTCGAACGGTTATATGCCAGCAGTAACCTCAGCGATCTTTCATTAAGTGCATGAAATTTAAGGTAATTTAATTTTGAAGCAACCAACAATTTGCATGAACAATTTGCGTGCTAAGCGTATATCTCAAAATGATCTCAAAACGCTAGAAAGCTGGCGACCTGATCTGACAATTTGGACAAGATTGCGAAACGCGACAGACAGACTTTAATGATATATTATTATTATTATTATTACAATGATATATTACAATATTACGAAAAATTTGCACTGCCCGCAGTTAGCAAAGGCTAGTCGAGGCGGGCAGTGTTTAATACGTATATTATACGTATATCCTTCGCTTTACTGCGAAGGATCGTGCACATATACGTTTCATAACCGCAGTTCATATATACGTATTTCATATGTTTGTTGTTAGTGACTCATTGCTATCCAATTACCAGATCGGCAGATTTCCGACTAAGGAAACCTGTTTGAACAACCATCAGTTAATTACAACCAGTATAAATTTTCCGGCTAACTCGTCCAAGAGTTATTGTCTCAATATTGCGACCTAAACTTATGATCAACGAGCCTCGAATGACAACATTTTTTATTAGGTTCACCTGGAAATCGCGATATTGAATAAAGTACTTCACGCAAAGATATCGGACTGCAATATGTTTATCTTCTGTTATAACTCAGTCAGTATCATTTCAATGATTTTTCATTTATACTTCGGCTAACTGACTTAGTACTTAAAAATGCTAAACAAATCGCGGCTATCTATCACCAACAGGAGGATATTGCTTGTGTATTTTTCTGATCAAAACCTGATCGTATGCAAGCACACATTTGACTTTTCTAACCCCGATGACGTATTCAAAGCGGATTATTTATCGAAGCGGTGCCACAGGTCTTAATTTGTTGTACGATCGTCTATATTATACCAAGTAAAAATGTCATACAGCTGTTCAACAAAGCACTTATTTTCTATTGCAATAAAGAACGACTGAATCAGAGAACAGAAGCCCGATGTTTTGATTGAGTGGTAATTAACAACCAGCTCTTCGCTTTCCCAAGGACAGTGTAATAATGCGTTATGGATAATGACCTTAAAATCCACAGGATGTCTCTAAGCTAATAATATATTCTCTCACAACTGATTGCTCTGAAATAGGTTTCAGTATGCGAGAGACGCTATTTACTGATCAGATCTCGATCAAGGTTTCCAGAAATAGAAGTGCCACTTGAAAACGGGTTCATCCACAACCAAGTCAAATTATTAAGTATAAAGCGAGTTAATCTAAGTTAAGATTCGTATGCAGTATTGAGTAAATGCAAACATTAGTATGTCTGTCCAAGCGTACTGGGGTTTTTGGCGTGTTTTCGTTTAAGAACAAGCATACTTCATTGCTATCACTCATTCGCAGAGAATCGGGAAAACAAATGAGAGAAAAACCACGTTATGAAAAAACATCCTACTCATATTCTACTTACTATTTATACTCTTGGCCTTTCCGGATGACGATAGTGTAAAACGATTCAATCAAAAGTAAAAACAGTCCAGTACATAGCCACCAGTAGATTGTGTCATTCTCCTTATAAAGAAACACAAGATACACACTTACTACTCCGTGCACAAGAAAGATAACACGAGTGAAGATCCCGCTAAAGAAGGTAAAGAAAACCATAGCAGATTAAGAGCGAGATGACTTCCTTAGAAACACGATCCTTCGGTATGTGGTACTGCGTGAGTGATCTCGCGTGATTAACATGTTGATGTTTGACCGCGATGATTCCATGGTTTCGCCACTTGAGAGGTGTTTGATAGTTTGTCAAACCCGCGCTTGATTGACAGACTTGACGGTATTCAAATGACTTTGATTGTAATTTCTCAGGACAAAAGAGCGCTAGACATTCCTTTGAAGACAAGATCTTTTGTGCCCATTGTTTTTCTGAGCCTCTTTTGTTAGATGGATTTCATCACTATAGTTACGCACGGTGAGTGCACACGTAACGTCGTGTCATGACAACGCCATCGTACCTTATTAAGAGCTCTTTACCACGAAAACACCCGTGGCTTTTACCATTTCATCATTTTCCGTGAATCCTTGGGTCTATCTAAACCTTTTTAGTGCTTCTTCGGTGTTTATTTGCATGTTCTGACAACTAAAACCACAACATTGCGCATTACGCAAAAATTCAGTCTCTTGGCCAGCTTCCCAAATACAGACTTTGGACTTTGAACTTTGAACTTTATTTATTTCACACGGTGCACGGTGTCCAAAGTAGCAAAGGCTTTCTAGTTATCCGAGTGTCGACGTAAACGACAAGGTAGAGTATCAAACAACAACAAACATATGAAACATATGTGTGAACTGCGGTTATGAGACGTATATGAGTACGATCCTTCGCAGTAAAGCACTATTTGAGCAATAGTGAAAATCAGACCTGAAAAAAATTTCAGGCCTGTACGGGATTCGAACCACTGACCTCTGCGATACTAGTGCAGCGCTCTACCAATTGAGCTAACAAGCCAACTGGGAGCAGGCCATCAAATTAATTCGACATAAACCCGTAGATGATAAATCAAACAACAACAAACATATGAAACATATGTGTGAACTGCGGTTATGAGACGTATATGAGAACGATCCTTCGCAGTAAAGCACTATTTGAGCAATAGTGAAAATCAGACCTGAAAAAAATTTCAGGCCTGTACGGGATTCGAACCACTGACCTCTGCGATACTAGTGCAGCGCTCTACCAATTGAGCTAACAAGCCAACTGGGAGCAGGCCATCAAATTAATTCGACATAAACCCGTAGATGATAAATCAAACAACAACAAACATATGAAACATATGTGTGAACTGCGGTTATGAGACGTATATGAGAACGATCCTTCGCAGTAAAGCACTATTTGAGCAATAGTGAAAATCAGACCTGAAAAAAATTTCAGGCCTGTACGGGATTCGAACCACTGACCTCTGCGATACTAGTGCAGCGCTCTACCAATTGAGCTAACAAGCCAACTGGGAGCAGGCCATCAAATTAATTCGATATAAACCCGTAGATGATAAATCAAACAACAACAAACATATGAAACATATGTGTGAACTGCGGTTATGAGACGTATATGAGAACGATCCTTCGCAGTAAAGCACTATTTGAGCAATAGTGAAAATCAGACCTGAAAAAAATTTCAGGCCTGTACGGGATTCGAACCACTGACCTCTGCGATACTAGTGCAGCGCTCTACCAATTGAGCTAACAAGCCAACTGGGAGCAGGCCATCAAATTAATTCGACATAAACCCGTAGATGATAAATCAAACAACAACAAACATATGAAACATATGTGTGAACTGCGGTTATGAGACGTATATGAGAACGATCCTTCGCAGTAAAGCACTATTTGAGCAATAGTGAAAATCAGACCTGAAAAAAATTTCAGGCCTGTACGGGATTCGAACCACTGACCTCTGCGATACTAGTGCAGCGCTCTACCAATTGAGCTAACAAGCCAACTGGGAGCAGGCCATCAAATTAATTCGATATAAACTAAGTTCAAGGGCGTGTCGCTCCAAAACGCGGTTAACGAGGTGTTTGGGACTATTTTACTGATCGAAATGACAACCCAAAGTTGACTGTTTGCACGAATCTTTATTCTTGAAAGGCAATCGACCACGAACCACAATCAATGACGAAAATAACGATTATTCTGACAGTCAATCAATCTATCGAACGATCGATCGTAAACTGAAACAACAATACAACGAAGTTCTATCAATCTAACGAAAAGCCGCGGAATACATGATCAAAGAATCGCATGTTAAATACTGGGCTCTAAAGTCTATAACGAGATTAACAATACAAGTGAAACAGAACAAAAGTTTGGAAACAAATTAAAAGAGTTTTGATGACTGATAAACAGCCCATTGTTCTATCTAAATGATGGGCGTTCACTGACTCGCAAATTGGCACGAATTTGGCCTTTAAATCTTAAATCTATACAGATCATTGCAATATTTGTTTGTATATTGTCGCCCAACACTGAAAAGACTGGAGAGGGAAAAACAAAGTTACAAAGGTACTCACATATCGGTCCCGCTTGTGCCAGAGGTTGAGAAAACGAAAGGGCGAAAGTTTACCAAGGCTATTCAAAACTTACGAAGAACTGATTAAAGGGACGCTAAAATTGCCTTTTATATGCGCGTGGTGACGCTGAAAGGTCCAATTACAAAACCAATAGAAATACAGAAAAACAGATAAGCATTGTAACTATGTGGCTATCTTAGATCATTCTGAAATTAGTGAACTAATCGATAATCAATCAAAAAATGAGCCTTCTGGCTAATGTCCTTAACACCGGGGATGAGCCCGATTAACCCTCGTTGTTCATAGTGTGCGTTACTACTTTCTGTTCGGTATCTCAGTTCCTGAGGTCCATTGAGATGCTCATGGTTTTACTTGAGGCATAATGGAATAGTAGCTGAAGAAATTCTACTTTACCACATGAGAAAACCCTTGTGCGACGATTTGAAGTGTCAACTTTAGCTCGCTCATGAAAAGATCATGATAAAGCAAATTTTTAGCTCTGGGTCAATGACAGTTTATATCTTTCCAGGTTTTTGCATTGCTAGACTATATACGGAGGCGTATTTGGCAAGACGAGCTCGCTAAGAATAACATCGCTCGGAAAGATGTAAGGAGAATTGTCAAAAATAGAGTCCAGTGGAGTTCCTTATCCAATCAGTCTAATTTAGGCGGCCGATGCACATAACGGTCAACGGCATCGAAGGTGCCCGTCAAGGAATTCCTCGGCTCTTTTTGCTCAACGTCTATAGTGACTTTTGGCATAATGTGGGCAAAAGAAGAGAGTAATAGAAAAACAACAACAACAACAACAAACAAACAAAAAATCAACAACAATAACAGCAACAGCAACAACAACAACAAACAAAAAACAACAACAACAAACAAAAACAGAAAATCTTAACCTGATACAGTCCAGTCAAGCTGGGAATTTTACTCGTACCGGCAGTTTTGGTGAACTCTAACTTCGGCTGATGGCAAAACCTTTTGGTCCTCTCACAAGCTGGCCGTTTATCGCGAGATTAAAAACTTTTCACACCTTTTGACCATCCTTTGCAGAACAATATAATTTCTTTTGAATTTCTGGGAATGGGGACCTCGGCGGAAATTTTTCATCCAGCACGGCTCCTACTGCATTTTTTCGCAGCCTATTGTTTCTGGGAGAGTAATTATCATCTTGGCAGCACTTATCTCGATGGCACTTTCTTCTAAAAAAAAAAAAATTGTTGCAATCTCTGTTCAACCCTCCTTCAGTCCTTTTCCAAGCTTTGGTCCGACCATGGCGAAGTCACTGAGGAGTTGGGAGCCATGTCGTCTAAAATAGCATTTTTTGTGTACGACAAGCATGTCAATCATTTACTGAATATTTTATTTAGGACTAGCTGGTTTTTAAATTATCAAATTTAAGAGTAGGGAGAAAATTAGAAGTTAGAACGAGATTACGAGCCTGTCCTAGCTGTGAAAGTTAAAAACTGATCAAGAATTCCAGGTTTTTACTCGCATGCTGAGTTTTCAAAAGCATGACTTAAAATGTCGCACTTACTACGAACCGTGCATAAATTATCTCGTCTCTATAGCTTGAAGTGATCTTAACAGTGATATGTTTTTTAAGGTCAATTAATCGCCCGACTATGTTTAGGTGTTCTTTTTCAAGCAGTATCTGCTGCAAAAATTAGCAACGCAAAGACAGCAAATGAAAAGTAAACTTTTCCTTTCAAGGACCTGCTCGATAAATATAACAAATTTTTTCTTCTCAGTTATAAGTGCTCTTTTGATTTACAGAAGGCAAACCGTTGTCGCGAACACTCGTGTTGTAACCTTTGTTTTGCTAAAGCTGCTCTGTTAAAAAAATAATAATAATCATAGTAACTTAACTATGAATTTAAAAAGAAACTAAGCAGATGATTACTTTAAATTTTCATAAGGTATGGTTCTCACATTTTTGACAAGTTCAGCTTGTGGACGACTAGCACCAGTCTATTTAAGATCGGTTTCGGCGCATGCTCAAGGCGATAAACTTTTGATCCGTGAAATGTCGCAAATTAGTTTCGCGGTCAGCAGTCTTTGTACCAGCTCAATTGAAGGCAGAGGAAATTGGGGGCAAGTGAGGTGATAATTTGTAAACATTTTCTTTTGTAACAATCTCCTTAGTTTAACTTGTGGGGAATTAGAGAAGAAATGCGAATGCTGTTGAAATTAATTTCAGCTTTTCAATCGCTTTTACGAGAGACTAGCTTTACACGCAAATCTAGAGTAGATAAACAATAAAAATGCCACAAGAAAAAAAAAAAAAAATGAGGCACCAGCAAATCGGGAGAACGAGTTTAAGCCAAAATTCATTTTTATTTCATGACTGTGTTATGCACAGATTTGGTTTCAGGTTACAAAAACCAAAATTCTAGAAACTGCGTGTTGAGTGACAAGTGTGGGCGTTAAATTTTGCCATCATTATGTTTCAAATAATGAGTGTTTAAAGATTTGGCGTCTGAGTGATTGGAGCGAGACGCAGATTTCAATCAACAAGCTAAAAAAATCATGATTTTCATTAAAGCTACTTTATCAATTTCAGTGCAAAGATATTTGTTCAAATCAGAGTTATTAAATCGCAAACTTATCGTGAAATGTTTTGATTCATACGAATTTATGGTTGTGTTAATTCATTGAGAGGCAAAAAGATTCTCTCTATGAATTCTAATTGCTTGTACAGTTGGGCAGGTGCCAGACACGACAACGAATCATATTAGCATATATGAAGCAGCTGACAGTTACTTTCAATGCGCCTTGTATTTCAACAGAAAATTTGCATATGGTTTATTGCATTGGACAGAGAAGAAATCAAATTGACAAAAGCTTTTTCATAAGCGAGATTATCCAACCCTTCAGGAAAGTAAAGCTGCATTTTTTAAAACTATACTAATTGTCAAAGAACACACCATTAATCATTGTAAGTATTTTCTGAAACTTTTTGTTTCAACGAAACGCATGTCGCAGTGAAACACTTTGCTTCAAGAATTGTATTATCTCACTCGGCCGGGAAATTTTTATGAAAATATTTGGACTTCTTTAACGCAACCATGTCGTAAAATCATTACCAAAGCGAATATTTTATAGAAAGAGGAATATATTAGTCATTGTAAGGGTCCACGTTTAAGGCGTCACTTGATACGACAATTATTCAAAATTTTCTTCCGTACCTAGTTGATATGCGCATAATTTAGAAAACTGAATCGCAAAGAGAAACAGTATTATCCCTCGCCTGTTTATTTATTCTCGTTCTACTAACTTTTCAATCTCTCGCAACAGATTTGATAGGAAAGTTTTTACTCTTCGTGAAAAGCAATCAGCTATGAACAAGCCTATAGAAAAGACTCAGAAAGTTTTAATGAAAACTTCCAACAAGAGTCGAGGAGGTAAAGACGTCGAGTTTCGTTCGAAAAAACAAAAGAATGAGTTGCATATATTGAAGATGTCACAAGAATGGGATCTAAGAAGACAGCAACGTCGTTTAGATCGACAGAAATGGGTCGAAGAGCGACGGAATCAGAAATTGCCAATATGGCAGCGTGTGGGGAATCTACGGGTGCAGGCAAACGAAGAAGGGATTTTGCATGAAGCTGGCAACCAAAATGTAAACAACAAGGAGCATACCGAAAATTCAAATGAGATAGGCAAAGCTGGTGTTGCTAATAATCATAAACTGGAAGAGAAAGTCAGAAAAACTCTAATAGAGTCTCAAGCTAATGAAAAAGGTGACACGCTTCATGACAAGTCCTCGCCAGGCCCTGAGTTCGTTCGACTGCGACACAGTATAGACCAGAAAAGAGATTCTACGGGCAAAATACAGTTTATTAAATCTGAACAAGTCAGAACAATGAAACAGACGTTTGTGTACAACGTGAAAGCGTTAGAGACATCACATGTATCTACGGCACAAATAAGAGATCACGGCTCTAACATAGCAGTTAAGAACTCGTCGAAGGTAAGTCAGTTGTTGAATTTGCTACAGTGCTCACACAAGTTTTATTTACACTTTCGTGCGATGTAGACACAAAGATCAATACAGGCTCGTTAATATTTGCATACCAGTTCCTCGTTTCGAAAAGATGATAAAGCGGTTGGAAGAATTATGCGAAAAAAGGGATTGTAAATCGGCGCGTGGTAATGATATTTTGGAGATGTGATGGCTCCTTTGGCATGATGGCAGACTTCAGTCTTTCGCGCAATTAACAGAGTTTTTCCAACTGATAATGAGACTTTTAAGGAAGATGGCACTGGCATTCAAATTTCTTATGAAGTTGAATTTCGCCATAACAAATATTTCCTCAAAGTAACGTCTCGGACGAAATATGATATTCGCGCCGTCGAAAATGCAGAGGGAAATTAAAACTGAAAAAAAAACCACTCATTTAATTTTCTTCCCTTTTAGTCCTGAAATAACTGAATTAAGATATTTTTAATATAATGACTGTGATTTTTTTTTTATTTTTTTGATAAATCAACTTTTCCTCTTCTTTTTTCACGGGCGGGTCAAAATATATCTGTTTGCTTCAAGTTAGGATGAAATGAAGAGTTGTTTAATTTGCTGTTTTCCAATGCAAAGAACACTATCTTAGGCAAGATGTCACGTTATATGCTATAAAAAGCTTGCGTTGCCTCAATTTTCTCAGAACATTTTCGGTTAAAAATGCTTTGATTATACTGATAATCAGGTTTGTAAAACTTCAATTCGGAGAAAAGATAACTATTGAGAAACAATACGTTCTCACAGCATATCAAATAGTAGGCTCGTCAACTATTATCGTGGGGATTTTTTGATTGGGTACAAAAATCAATTGGTTTTACAAAGCTTTAAGTTTCTTCCTCAATCTTCCGGAGATATCCGAACACTTCCGAAGATACTTGACAAAGCCCTAATTTGAGATGATTCGCTCTGGTAATTTTGAACTCCGATAGAAAACTGATAGGGAAAATTTCGTCTCAAAAAGAATGAATCTCTCGTTGGCTTTAATGAGAAGTAATTTATTTTTCACCATCTGTCAAATTGTCAAATTTGCTAATTTCAGTCGGCTCTGGAAACAATTTTAAAACAAAAAAGACAAAGAAACTTTATCAACCTTCTCCTACATTTAGGTCGAGTTTAAATGTAATGTGTGAAACATTGGTCAACAAGGGTTGGAAAATGGCATCCAGTACTTAAAAAAGTTACCTTTATTTACTGTTGGTTGTGTCTATAGTACAAAGGCTAGTAGGGCTGAGTAAATCAATGAAAAAAATTATAAAAAATAACAGCACAACAAGGTCAGGAGGAAAACCAGCTGTTAGCTTCACAAAAGCTTTGCTTAAGACTCGAAGGTCCTCGAACTCTGGGACCTCCAGTTTGGGATAGGCCATTTCCGAATTACGTTTGGCCTCTTTTTCAAAACGAGGCCTGGTGCTCAACCATACGTATGAAAAATAGTTTAATTTGCATGTGAATGAAAACTTATTACCATACGAAAGGATGAGCACCAGGACTCGCTTTGAAAAGGAGGCTAAAGGCAATTCGAAAATGGGCTATTGCAACGCAGCCAACTACTTGACCGGGATTTTTTTTCGACGTTTTCTTCGGAAATCCTGAAGAAATGTAAAAAAAATGTGGGGTGCGAATTAGGAGAATTCTTCAAGCTGAAAATAATCAGTGTATGTAAATGCATAATTTACTCCAACAAATCAACGTCTTTGTCTGTTTTTATTTTTCACTAATTAGTTAAGGATTCTATAAACCTACCCGAAATTTGCCCTCTTTCCTGCGAAAAGCAGTACTCAAACAATTTATTTACTAGCGCGGTTTATTCATAAAATTTTGAACGTATTTTTGACATTCCTTCTTCGATACCAAAGTCACATGTGGTGCATTGTACGAGTTGAAAACATCCATATCAACATTAATTACTTGAGGATTTTTTGCCGAATCTTACAGATTATCGTTAACATTTTTTTTTTTTTTTTTTTTTTTTTTTTTTTTTTTTTTGCAGTCTCCAACAGCTAACGATAACGATAATTATGAAGAGCAGCATTATGAGAGAAAAATAGTCCCGGAGAAAGGTAAATAGATGGGATAAATTTTCTTGCCATGCATTGACATCATTCCTTTCATAATTACTCTGTTACGGTGTCAACGTGGTAACAGTATACTTGCCCACTTCCATTTGTTGTGAGCCTTCATCGCCGCACAATAGCTATCTCAACAAAAGGAATCTTTAAGGAACGGATCAATCTTATTCCACAATTTAAAACTATCCTCCTTTTACGGAGTGTGAACTTTTCATATATGGCAGAAACATACTGTATCAAAGAAATCTTGGTTTTTTTACCATTTATAATAAAATTCGGCAATTTCCCGTTGGGAAGTTCCATTGGAGAATGGTGTGTTCCATTTAAATGAGGCCTTATTCGTTTGCAGGCCCCTCTCTGCTGCTCCATTTTAGCGTAAAATATCTCCCGCGAAAATTCAAAATATGCTTGTTATCTGCGTATGTTGTTATGAGAAGTCTTACATCTGTATCTTCCCATCGGTCCAAAATTTTCAACGACCCTGCTTCACCGTGGTCGGTTACACTTGCCGAAGGCCTAGTTGAAACGGAAGAAATGGTAGCTGGAAACAAAGAATTTCAAAAATTCTTACAAATTTATACAGACACCTTAGAGAGCTAAGCGACATAATTTTTATGCCAGATACACTTGCTCTCAAAGAGCTCCAGGTACAAATTCTGTTAAAAGAAAAAAACTGTGCGCTACAAATTCTATTCACCATTCAAACATGAGCCGCTATCATGGTGAAGTAAATTTTGTAAATCCGAAGCTAGAAAACGGCGCACTGAACACTCGTACACCTGAGCGCACGCCGTTTTGACTGACGCAAAAATACGAGAGGGGTCTGGCAGCGAAAATGACCGTGAAAGGCTTGGAACTGGTGAAAAACGTGGAGGATCAATAAATGGAACACAAAATTTCCACAGGAAAATTTCCACCGGGAAAATGGGACTACCTTTTCAGAATTTCCGTTTTTCCCAGGAATTTTCTAGTGGGACAAACCGAAAAAACGTTTACCATTTACATCCCAACCGGAATTTCCGGGAATTTGTGGTAAATGATAAACAACCCTTGTTTCCAAATTTGCAGAAACCAAACCAGCCCCCAGTCCTAAAAGAGTTGATGGTTCTGTTGCCATTCAAAAAATACCGACAGGGGAAGGGGTGCGGAAAGAGAGGAAACGAAAATTAGAGGTGGGAATGACAGATGAGGAGACAAGACTTATGGTGAGTTTGTTGAATGTAATTTCTCTAAAAACAAACAAAAAAACAAAAAACGCCATGAATTTGTTTGTAGACAGTTGATTGAACGATCTTTTCTTGCTTGTATACAAAACCTGAATGTATTACAAGTGACGCACCAAAATTTAGTAAATGCCAATACCCTTTTTGAAAATTTGAATACAGAAATTGGAAACCAAGCATTTATCTCGAGTCAAGTCTTAAGCCTCATAGTTGATGAAATGTTTCGTTTGTTATTAAATAAATACATTGGCGATCATCTGTCCTAAATTTGTGCAAAAAATGTAAGGAACTGGCGAAATATTTGGAAAACTACATGAATAAACTGTTCGACGTCCACTTGATTCTAAAGCTTCGGTTAAGTATTCAATTTCGCTTTAATATCTGTTTAAAGGCTTTTGAAAAATTCTTACTTCGAAAAGGGACAGAAATGCCAAAGTTTCGTACCATCTGGTGATGTACAAAGAAAAGCTAAGAAAACAATTTTTCTTCTGAGTGATGTGATATTGGAATAAAATTTTTGATTTGGTATTATTAAACCTGGGTTAATGTGCACTTAATCATTCGAAAGTGGTACATACAGCTCAACTGTCACAAACTACCGCGGCCTTAAGCTTCTTTATGATAGCATTTGTATATTAAGGGTGACGAAAGCTATCTATTTTTAATCTTAGCCTAAACTTATGTGCGTCGATAAACCAACAACTCTGGAGAATATTTATGAAAGAGAAAACAATGTAAGTCTAAACAATTTATTGCCAGCCAGGAGTAATTTATTTATATCTCTATATATATATATATATTTAGTATAATTTCGGAGCTGAGCAAAGAGTTTCCAGCAATCTGATTGGTCGAGCGGTTCCTTATATGACGCTATATAAACCGCTCCAAGCGGTTTATATAAAATGTTAAAATAAAATGTTAATAAATGTTACTAAAATGTTATGATTTTAGAAATTTCTCTGTTGTTCAGCTCTGAAATTATACTAAAACACTATTCGCCTCAGGTTCGGTGAATATTGTCGAACAATCTCCTCGACTTCGTCTCGGGGATTATTCGACGATATTCACCGAACCTGAGGCGAATAATTGTTAAATATAGATAGATATAGAAAGTTTTACAAAATGCGAGGATGGACAACTTCCGACGTTTCGGTCATATAGATAGGGAATTTAACTGATGAGTGGACCAACTTCTTGTCGGTCTACGAAACAGACCTGTTTGAAAGTCCATATGTAACTTTATTGAGCAGAAAAACATTGTTATTACCGCTCCATTACTGTTAAGCACTATTCTGGATTTATCAGTGTGGAACTTACCAGAAGATATATATATATAAGTTATATACTTATCAACGTTGTTTTCTCGGTTTGTACTGTAACTTACGGACCGGGTTTTTTTCGCTCGGATTTATGACTCAAATGCGAAGTGCGCGAACCACACCTTAACTGAAATAGAAAACCGGTGACTGCGATCCATTCCCCAATAATTCAGTCTGCCCCGTGATATCTAGTCCTCATTGGCATCTCAGCAAAGATTTGAAAGTTGAGTTATTTTCTGTGAGCATAGTAACTTGATGGTCATGGTAACATCTTTTCATGATTTCCTTTAGTAAAGAGTTTAAGGTAAATAGATTGACTATTTTTATCTTTTCTTTTTAGCCTATCACCACCACAACGTCCTCCAGCATTTCTCATTCAATGGTGCACCACATTCAGGGAGACCTGGACACTAGCGTTAAAGGTTAGCATATAGTCTATGACGAGGTTTCGTTACAATTTTGTCCTGCCGGACGCCAAGATTAAAATAACATTGTTATAAACAAGCTCTCGGATAAATTAACGGGAAGCCCGACAGTCAAATTAACGACACGAGATGAATTAATTAGAGGGGAAAGAGACCATGGCTTAATAGCCTCCCGTAGGAGATCGAGAACTTCTTTGAAGACAGCACGTGATAAAGCTGTATCATATAAACCAGTAGAGGGGCTAGGCTTTTGATAGACTTATAAAAGTTACGTGACCTTGTGTTGTGTCACTTAGCGTTACGTTACTTTTCGTTGCGATACGTAACGTTAATTTACCTCACTTTTTGCCGCGCTTTTTCCATACCTTCCTTTCTTAGCCTTGCCTTGCCAAAAATTTACATGAATCAATGTAAAACTTGCCAGAATGATTTTCATTTTACTTTGAACAGGCGAGAAAAGTGTGCCTCAGATAAAACAATGCTACTCTTTGCTGGACCGAGGAGAAGACGAAAACGCCTTCTTCGTGAAAACGCCACAAAGCAAGTCCACCCCAGTCGCAGTTGCCTTGACGACACCAGTTGTGACTACCACCGCGCCTTTCACTGCCAAAGGACAAGCGTCATTGCCATCTGTTACTCCAGACCCCGGATGTTTAGTTTACCTGTCAAATTCAACGGTGCAAACGCACTTGCCTGGCGTCACGCGGCATCCTCGGTCTGGTTACCTAGTCCCTGTGTATAAGACGAACAAAAGAGAGCCAGCCTATACATTTTTACCAGCAACCTCTCAGCATTCTCACAGGGCGAGAGACAACTTAAGCCCGGAGGGCCACTTGTCAAATCGCAAAAGCGATGATTGTGTGTCAGTTGGAAGCACAAGCACGCCGATGTCGTACCCCTTTCCACATTCCAAGCCCTGTGCAAGGGAGACACATGGTGCGTGCACCAGCGCTGGTAGCAAGGGAAAGGTAATTCACCCTCCACAATCACAACCCTCTTTGTACAGGGAAAGTGTGTCGTTGAATGCAAGAGCTCTCTCAAGTTACGAGTCAAGCAGTAGCAGCGCAGCTGTCACGCTAACGAACACATCGCAAATGGATCCACTTTACGTAAACGGTGCTCTTCCAGGCGGTGAAGGAAAGCCTCATTTGCCCAACCGTACACACACCTACACGCAACATCACAGAACAGGTCCTCACGTTGGCCCCTTACGAATAATAAAAGATGAGAGAACTGACAGTCCAATGGCCTCAGATGATAAATGTTCCGCCGTCCCTTCTGAGAAATTCCACTACCCGGCTATTTGCCGTACACCGGACTCTGCGCCGAGTCAAACGCCAACCACACAAGATGCCATCTTTAATCCAATGTCCATTTATGTTAGGCCTAGGTTGGTACCCAGGGAGGTGGTTTCAGTAGGTCATGGGTCAGAACCCAGCCCCCCACTAGTGGAGTATATAAAAACTGATGCAATCTGCGAGAAGGAGTTGACAAAATGGGACGCAAAGAACGTGCGAGATTTTATCGCTGCAACAGACTGTAAGGATAAAGCAGAACTTTTTCTGGAAGAGGTTTGTATCTGTCCAAAGAACTTTGTTTTTTTAATATCGTCTGTTACGTTAAAAGTATGCTTTCTAAAAATGGAAAGTTTCCTCTCTTGACTAGTTTACGGAGATTTCAAAAATGAAAAAAAAAATTCAAATCTGTTAACAAGCAGCCCGGAGGTCCATATAGTGCCTTTGAATGGTTGTTATATATACCAAAAAATTGCGTATTGACCACTTTCAAAAATGGCTGCCAGATTAATATTCTTTTGTTTAAATTTAAATAAGCCTTTCTGGCCTTGCTTGAGATAATGTATTCTTTTGAATTTTGTACTGGAGAACGAGGCCAGAAAGGCTAGTTTGAATTTAGACAAAAGAATATTAATCCGCCAGCCATTTATGAAAGTGGTCTATTAGCCTATCAGAATTGATCACTACGGATCTTAACACAGTTCTTCATGAAAATGAGAAGATCTTCGAGGATCTTCTGCAGGGTCTGCAACTTTCTTTGAAGCGAACCTATCTTGAATTCGAGAATAATAACGCACTTTCGTAAGTGTAGTAAAGGCTACCTGATAAACCCTCCCCCCCCTCCACCCTAACAAAATAACCTTTTTTAAAATACAAGTCTAGATCTTTTTTGATTGTTTTTGTCTTCCACACAACCATTTTATTTTTGGTAGGAACTTGTAACTTAAGTATAAGAACTAGACAAGAAAATTCAAATCACGAAAGAATACTTTGTTGGCCTTTTGAAAATTTCCCTGGAAAGTCACAGCTAAGCTTTAGCTCGATACACTAGACCCAGGTTCATTCTTGTTCGTGTACAAACAAAACAAAAGTGAGGCATTCATAGCAAACGAAACGACACAAAAATACTGATTGATAACTTAGCATAGGAAGGGAAAAAGAAGTTGCTTAAGAAAAGATAATGAGAAATTGCAAACAAAGATAGTTTAAACCCAAGTCATACAATCTGCGATGATTTATTCCAAAGTACAAGAAAAACTGCGATTAAGAGGAAATAGTAAACATAACAAATACAATAACATTTAATGAGATAAGCTCCAGCCATCTATTGTCTTTGTGTCAAGGGGTCGCTCGCTTGAGAACTGGATACGAGTGAAAAATCGATTCACAAGGGTGTGCCACTGCACGGCTAGAACCTTTAACCCCACATACTTCCCACGAAACTCATCCTCAGGGGCTTTTCCCTTGAAATTCAGTGGAAAAAAGCCCACGAAACGAACTTGGCTTCCCACAAAAAGTAAGCTGGGAATAGTTTTCAGCTTGTATTTTCATATGGCAACTAATATGCATTTGTCTTTTCTTCCATTACGCAGGAGATCGATGGCAAAGCTTTGCTCTCACTTTCACCGGAGATGTTAATGAAAGGAATGAGCCTAAAATTGGGCCCAGCTGTAAAACTTTACAATCATATCGTCAATCTCAGAACGGCATTGTTGATTTAGATTATTACACTTCTTTTGTCTTCGCGAAAAGATTATTGTACTCTTTTGAAAGCCATTCCTTATTACGTGGAAGTGAAGGTTGATCCAAATCAGTCGGTATTCAGTTGTTGATATTCGTACGTGCTACTTATTTTGGATTTTTGTACTATGATTCATACGTGATTATTAATTGGTAATTAAAGAAAAACAGAAGCTAAACAATACACAAACTGTGTGAAATCGTTACTCTGATTACCGGGACAACAATAATCCACTTCCGTTTTTCGCTCAAAAGCCACGAGGATCACTCTGATGATATTTTGTTTCTCTCTGAATCACAGAACTTTCACACCAATCCCACACATTGCAATGAGCGTTGAAAACCACGCAAAATTGGAGCCAAAAGTGACCCCACCTGCTCGGAAGCCACAGTCAGTGTACTGTGCATATTGAATAAACAGAGCCAGTTGAGCGCGGCTACGGAATGGGTGTCCTGAATCCCACTCTTCATTGGAAGTAATGTTAATTTCTTTGAGCATTTGATTGCATCTTGCAGTCACTGATGCAGCGCAGTAGCTAGGGTAGATAAACGCATACAATAAGATTACAGTCGAACTGACTTTAGTCAAAACAAAGCATCCTGCGCCAAGTGTTTGGTAATACCCTACCATGTCTGCAACATAAACAACTGCTGCTACAGCCAGAAGAAACCAGTGAATTAAAAACCACAGCTTTAAGGAGTTAGAAGTACAGAAAAGCTGTTCACAAAGATGTTTATGAATGCGTATGATGTCATCTAAACTGCTGTTGATAGAGTTTCGGATTTCCGCGAAGCATGATGTCACGCAATCCTTCATTGCGTTAGTGATTAAAGAAAATATATAACAACTAGTTAGTATTGCCAGCATGGGAATAATGCGCAAGGAGACTACTAGTTTATCAATTGAAATTCCTTTAAAAGTCAAATTAATCCAAACAATCCCGATCATGAGGGCCAAACCAAACAGGAGCATAGTGCAATTCAGAGTGGTCCAGAATGACCGCCCGGCAGTAGAGTAAGCCTGCTCTAGTGTCACGCAATTTGCAGTGTGACGCTTCATGGTCGAATTCCACATACACCAGAAGAAAGCCGCGTTAGACATCAGTCCAGCGAGGCAGGTCACCAAGGATAAAATGCTGTTCAATTCAACTCCTGGTAAAAAAGCAAGGACGGGTATGTTATGAGTTGATGACGAGTTTTGGGACCCATTCCGACACATCCATCGATCAAAGGAAGTATCATAATGACCACAAAGAAAAGCGTAATATACGGCTTTAAAGACATAGCATATATCCACAAATAACACAACTATTGCCATTATAACATGTAATCCTTTGCTGGGGTTCCAGAATCCCACAGCATGCGCCATGCCCCTTAGAAACACGCCAGAACAAAACAGGTTCTTTCTTTTCTTGAGGAAACTAGTTTCGCTTGCGTCGTTGGAAGGGCTACTTCTGTTCGAAGACTCATCAGATGATATTTCTGAAGATATCAGAACCACAAATTCCTCGTTCCGGTTACTTCCTTGCTCCATCACACAAAGAGAACTTAAAAACTCCGTGTAGTAGTGTTTCGGGAGACAAGCTTTGTCGTATGGCTGGCGATCACGCGATGCGGGCTTGTCTAAGGAGTCGAATGCTTACCAGGCGGTGTGTGCACTCTGACTGCGTTGCATCATGGTCGTAAAACAAAAATTGAGTAATTTGCATCTTGACGCGTTGGAGTGAACATCTTTGTCGGCAGCGAGATACGGCGTGAATATACGTGGATTTTAATGGAGGTTCACTGTCTGTTGCCATTCCTTCGAAAGTTAAAACGTTTGACGGGCCTGTGCGCCTCCAGTCATTTCTCCGTGACGAATTCGTTCTTAGAAGGCAACTGACGTTATTTAGAAATATTTCATCACGGGGAGCCCAGACAAGCGACGAGTCTGGTTGTTTATTCGAAATATAAAGGAATGTATGGGAGAATATTGAAGTCTTATTATCGTAAACTCGTATCATGAAATGTCTGAGTTAAAGCTCAAAATAAATGTAAACCTACCTCACTTGCTGTGTATTGTCGTTTCCGTGGCTCTAAATGGCCACAATAGTAGTGATTCACAGTATTAGGTTTGTACTTTAAATAAATATATTTAAGTTCACTCGAAAGATGAGTATAAACTGTAACAAGCTTATCGTTGATGCGCGGCCAGTACTTCAAATCTGACTGACACTCGATGCCAAAACTCAACCTCGTTCCCTGGATATGCCACCACATTACTTTACGCCAATTAAAAACTGCACGCTATTGTGCATTTTCTTGCACAGGAAAAACCAAACAGAATTTCTGATTCTGGCCCTTAATGGTCAGAATAATAACTAGGACTTTGTCTCTGACGAAGGAACAGCAATAAGCACAATTTTAACCTACGAGCAGGTTGTTGTTTAGTCTCGTCATGCAATGTTGGAGAGAGAGATAGCGTTGCGTGACAAGTTCAAATTAGGGCTGTGGAGGGGACTGCAGGAAGCGTTGTACCAATGCAGTTTATTTTTGTCAACAATTATTCAGACACCAGCATCAGTTATATGGTGTCCCATTTCAACCTACGTATCCAAAAAAATAACTCCTGCATGCGTAGCATGCCCATGTTTTTGTTTAAGGCAAGAATGGCGACCATGACTTTCTCGGAGACCTTTTCTCGTGAGCCATTTGCTCGCGAAAGTGAACTTTTTCCCTTAGGCTGGAAAGAATTAACAGTTCCTGTTCATATTGCCCACTCCCTCCAGGCAAGGTCCAAATTACCCACCCCCAGGTACAGACGTCAGTCAAATGCCCGTGGGTTGCCCCTGGTTGGGGGGGAGGGGGATGTTGAACCTTGTAACTGATAGGTGCATGAGAAGATTTGTGTGGATAAGAGCAGAGCTTTAATGACGTCACGGTTTCTCGTTTATTGCTTTGACAGTTCACGGAAAAGATCGTTTGCTGATCGCTTCCGTAATCACTCGTGGAATTTCTTTCGAGCTTCGTTTCAAAACGGAAAGAGACATGTTGACCTTTTATGCTTTATTACGCTTTAGAGTGAAGATAAACTGAACAAATTTACCCAGGAATGATTTTGATTAGGATTAATTTATGAACTAATACCAACATCTAACTAACATCTTATATATTTCAGCATAACTTAGATGTTTTTTCAGCAGAAAGACTTAAACAGTTGTAAATATTCTCTCTATGGATGCATCGAAAGGTCAGAGTACTGCCTCTTTTTGACTATTTTGTGTTTATGCTATTATTCTGCCTAACAAATAGTTGTGGTCATCAAAAAAAAAAAAAAAATTCAAAACAAACTCAATTTAGGGTTTGAGTGTCCAACGTCGATGACAGACCGTTAGTAAGAAAGTTGTTATGCAAGTCTTAAGATCACCACAATGATATCCTCTTTCAGAAAATGAAAATGAGGCGAGATCGGTTTTGTTTTTAGCCAACAATCGTTACTCCTATTACTAGAACAATAGTAATCCACTTCCCTACTTCGCTCTGAAGCCACGACGCAAAGTACAGCAACGACGCAGCTCAACAAGGTCGAACCGAAAGCTTCTGAATCACAGAACTTTGACACCCACTCCACACATTGCAATGAGCGTTGAAAACCACGCAAAATTGGAGCCAAAGGTGACCTCGCCTGCTCGGAAGCCACAGTCAGTGTACTGCGCGTATTGAATGAACAGAGCCAGTTGTGTGCGGCTACGGAATGGGTGTCCTGTTTCCCACTCTTCATTGGAAGTCATATTAATTTCCTTGAGCATTTGATTGCATCTTGCAGTCACTGATGCAGCGCAGTAACTAGGATAGACGAACGCATACAAATAAATTACACTGATAAGAGTAACTTGCTAGAAATTATACCACCCTGTAGCATTTTTTTGAAAAAACTCCACCATGTCTGCCACATAAATTACAGCTGTTACAGCCAATAGAAACCAGTGAATCAAAAACCACGGCTTTAAGGAGTCAGAAGTAGAGAAGATCTGCTCACAAAGATGTTTATGAATGTGTATGATGTCATCTAGGCTGCTGTTGATAGAGTTTCGAATTTCTGCGTGGCATGATGTCACGCAATCCTTCATAGCATTAGTGATCAAAGAAAATATAAAACAACTAGTTAGCGTTGCTAACCGGGGAATGATGCCCAGAGAGATTGAAAGGTTATTTATAAATAGTCCATCAAATATCAAATTAAACCAAACAATCATCAGCACGAGGGAGAGAGCAAACAGGAGCATAGTGCAATTCAGGCGGACCCACAATGAACGCCCTACTGAGGAGTAAGCCTTCTCTAGTGTCATGCAATTTGCAGCGTGATTTTTCATGTTCCACATACACCAGAAGAAAGCTGCATTAGACATCAGCACAGCGAGGCAGGCAACCGAGGATAAAACGTTGATCAATTCAATTCCATGTAAAAAAGCAAGTATGGATATGTTATGAGTTGATGATGAGTTTTGGGATTCATTTGGACACATCCAACGATCGAGGGGCGTTTTAAAATGGCCGCAAAGAAAAGCGTAGTACACGGCTTCAAAGAGGAAATAAACATCCAGAAATAGCACGATTACTGCCATTATAGCACGTAATCCTTTGCTGGGATTCCAGAATCCCACAGCATGCGCTAAGCCCTTTAAAAACACGCCAGAACAAAACAGGTTCTTCGTTTTCTTGAGGAGACTGTCACTTGCGTCGTAGGAAGGGCTACTTCCGTTCGAAGACTCGCAACATAATCTTTCCGAAGATGTTAGATCCACGAATTCCTCATTCTGGTCGAGGCCATGCTCCATCATATAAAGAAGACTTAAAAACTTCGCGCGCTAGTGTTTCTGGAAGCAAGCTTTGTGAGAAGCCCAATGACGATTTCTAATGATCACGCGATGCGAGCTCGTCACGCAATCCAATGCCTTCCCAGAGATCCTTGCTTACTTGGATGGCAACGAGGAATGTGCGTAAAATGGCGGATTTTTTCAAACCAGCAGAAAAGCTCATGTTGAATTTCTGCTAGACTTCAAGGAGTTTCTTTACTTTGGATCTCAGATTCGAAGTCACTGGGCCTGAAGATCTTGTGGTCAATGGTTGAGCTCTACTGGCGACACGGTTTTTCGTTAATTGCTTTGACAGTTCACGGAAGAGGTGTTTGCTGCTCGCTTTAATAAGCACTGCTGGAATTTGTTCGAAGCCTTGTATTATTCACATCATTCTTCCACTTTGAAGTAGCTTAGCAGAAAGAGACATATTTGGGCTTTAATTCTCTGGAGTGAAGATAAAATGGACAAATTTACCCTGGAATGACTACCTTATTACCGGTTTAAGCCGGATTAATTTACGGACAAATATCAACAAATCATATCTGTTAGGTCAATATAGTTGTGTTTCAGCAGAAAGGCATAAACAACTGGGAACTTGTCGCGATGGATGCATCAAAAAATCATCGTACTGCCTTTTTGTGACTCTGCTCTGATCATTTTGTGTTCAAGCTGTTATTCTGACAAACAAAAAATTAAGTTTATCAAACTTCTCAAAACAAACTCAATTGTGTATTTGATCGACCAAAGTTGATAACAAAGCAGTTTCTACAAGGTTATTAAATAGGCCATGAGTATGCCACGGTTTCAGGTAACTGGAAGATATTCTGATACCGACTCTGTGGCCACAGAAAATGACGAATGTGGAGAAGAATCTGAAATACCAGTAGCTCCTCAAAAAGAGGAACCATCCGAGGAATTGCAAGAAAAAATCAGGTAACGTTGTTGATAGGAAAGTACAGTAAAACTGCATAAGGTATCCCCTCTGGCAGAACTATAAAGTAATGATATTTTTAAGATATTTAAAATTAAACCATTGACCTTGCAAGGTTGAGCAGAGGTTTACATTCAATGCCTATAGCTTACTCGTCATATTATTATATATTTTGTGTATATTTGAGTTTCAAATGGACCAAAATTACTAGTCATATTTGTAATTGATAAAAAATGCCAAGTATGGTTGATCCAAGTTTTCAATGCTAACTTCAACATCCCCTCCCACCCAGGAACCCACAGGTACTTGTCAATGACTGCTGTCTGCTCCTGGGGAATGGGGAATTTAAACTGGAAATGTTAAGTCGTTCCAGTGGATTTTCAGGGCTCCCATTGATAACAGACAGCTTTTTGCATCCGAAGGGCCTACCCTGAGCAGTATAAATCAATAAAGGTTTACACATGTTTTATCTTTAAATGTGGAGGTGTTTAAAAGTAAAGAGTTTTCCATGAACAAATCACTCAAAAGGAAAGGTCTACTAAGTTTTGGTTTAAAGCTTGGTCAGTAAGGAGAAATTCTTAGTCACTGAATTTTTGCCTTTTACCAATTAAAATTGCCCATCAATTTTGGCGCTTGGTTGGGGCAGGAACTTGAACAAACCAATCCTTAAAAGTAGTGAGGCAGGGGCGTAGCCAGGATTTTTCAAAGGGGGGGTCACAGAGGCTACTCACCATTTACAGCGCTGCTCTCCCATGTGTATCAGTGGGCTCAGTCATATTATTGCGGCATGAAGGCCCATATCAATGGCTTTTACGGCCAAGATATTGTCATGGCGTTTTCGCCACCTGAATATTGTAGGTTGTTTGCTCTAAAGAAGACCTACCAAGGGGGGGTCACAGGCACCCCAGGATCCACCCTGGCTATGCCCTTGGTGAGGAGATGTCGAAGCCTCAAATTCAGGTCAATGCCTAAGTGTTGTTAATGTAGATTGAACCTGCCTTCTGAAACATGCTGTACTACCTTCAACATAACTTGATTAAATTTAACACTCCTTTTTCAGCATCATCAAGTGGACTGGTTCCAATAAGAAGCATCCATTGATTAGTTTCTCTCCCCATGTTTTATTATTGACTCTACCTCCAGAATCAAAAGCAGAAGCAGGTAAGAAAACTCTTTGAATCAAGTAATTCAAATTTAGTCTTAGTTTTCCAGCAAAGGGGTGAGAGCGACAAGAATTATTGTAAACCCTCTAACCTCAAGAGTGACTAAGTTCTAATTTCTCCTTACAATATCACCCCTGAATCACACATTAAGGTCAGGAGAATAAAGGAAATGATCACCAACTACAGAAGCTCTTGATTATTTAGCAAATTCTCCTTTTCCACACCTTAGAAAATTTAAAGAGAACAGTATGGAGAATAAAGATACTGATGTTAGGGTGTAAAGAGTTTGTATTCAATCCATGCCATCTTTTTGCGTGAATCTTGAATTGAGCAGTTGACCTGTAACATAACCATAAGAACTCTACAGGGTAAACTTGTACAGTTTAGAAGCTGCCAGCTCAGACACACAACAAAGATAATTAATTGAAATCAAAATTTGCCAGATGTTCAGCTTAGCTGTATAATTTCAGCCTGTGTGAATGAGTATGAACTTTGAAACCCATTTGGTTACACATAGACCATGGAATTTTGCCATTTATTTGAGTGGACAGGAAGTGCAATCTCAGGGAAATAAGATTGTGGTAAAATTATACAGGAATCCTGCACAATATTGTATTTACTTTGTCAAGATTTAAAACTCAATATTATAAACTTTGACTGAAAGAGGTAAAAAGGAAGTTCAATAAAACCCAGAGACTGATTTAAGAAATGGGTTCCCCTTCTGAAGACTTAAATTGATATAAAATACAATGACAGTTAGTGACAAAGTAGAAAAAAAAGCCAGTTATGTCATGTAAGTGGGAGTATTTTTTAGATCCTAGAAATACATCATATTAATCTTGGTTATTGAGGTTTTTATTTACCAGTAACCCGATTTTGTTATCATCTTCCCAACAGAAAAATTTCATTTGACGTACAAATTTGTCAAAACAGAATGCAAACTTGTACGAAGTATCCTGAACGTTCACTGCTTTAGAGAGGTAAAGATCTGAGAATTGCTGGTTATTAAAAGTATTTTTGCTGATAGATAGTTATGATTACTATAATTTTTGAAATACATCAGTGAATAAAATATGATTCTCACCAGATACATTTTCTAGAAAAATTTTAAAAGGAACATATTATGAAATAAGCTGTTCAGTAGTATTTGTACCATATATTTACCGGTATTATCAGTACTTGCTCTACAAATCTACATGTAAATTCTTTCCTTACAGTAATAATAATAGTAATAATAATAGTTTATTTCTTATAGAGCGCTATTTACAATGACAGATCAACAGCGCTTTAAAATTTATATACTAACCCACCCATCCCATCCTAGGGGAGGACATTCATTGCACAGTAATCTTGTGCGTGGGAAATTAATGTCTCCTACCCCTAACCCTGCAGGAGACGGGACCTCCATTTATTCGTCCCTATTCGAGAAGACTAGAATATCTAACCATTTCTTGATGTTATAAAAAGGTAGCATATTCTTCTCAATTATTTTAAGACCTAGAGTGTTGGTGCGGCCAGGGTTCAAACCCTAGACCTTCCACACAACAGTCCAGTGCTCTATCCATTGAGCTAACGTAGAGGCGGTTAGCTCAATACGTGTTCAATATTCTCTTCCTTTAGGTTCATCCCAACAGTTCAAACTTTAATTTGATGTGGACTGGTTCACATATCAAACCTCACACTCTTAGGGGTCTCCAGGATTTCCAAAAGATCAATCATTTCCCAAGGTATTGTAAACTACAGCTCATCCTCAGGTTTATGTGTCAAACACAGGTCAAGTCAGTGTGAAGAAGCTAATGTCCATCCCTGATCTCCTGAAATTTTGGTAGAGTTTAACAAATTGACAGTGGTTTAGCATGGTCACTACTCTTGTGGACAACAGTATTAATGATTGCAGCACTTGGTCAAAATGTTGTGGACTCATGAGGCCCAGCCAAGTGTGTGTGCAACAAATTTTGACTACTGTGATGATGAACATTGTTGTTGCTAAGAGTACAGACCACTCTAAACCACTGTTGATTTGTTTTTTACCCTAATATTGACATCAAATGAAATGATGCTTTCAGTGTGTGACGTGTTGCATGAAACATTGGGGTGAACAGCATAGTCTGTGCTCTTATCAACAATGGCAAATTGGCCAATCAGATTGCTGCATTACTGCCAAGTGTGGTAAAAAGGTTGTTCTCACCTCTATCAGTTACAGTTATCCCTGTGACTTGTACGGATATAACCACATCTTGTGGTACGGTAATTTGAATTTTGACATTAAAGTTGCATTTTGATTCGGAACAGGTCCTATGAACTTACCAGGAAGGACAAGTTGTACAAGAACATTCAACGAATGCAACATTCAAAAGTAGCGTACAATTTATCGTCATCAGTCTTGGTTTTACTTTACGATAAACATGTAACTTCTCTCTAAATCTAACTTTTCAACTTACTAACCAAGTGGGTAGTGACAACTTCGATGTTACAACAATTTCAGTTTGTTTACTAGCCAAACTGGCCAGTGGAAATCGAAAACCACCAGCCAAAACTGAATTTCTGCTAGTCTGTGGCTAGTTGGCTGTCATTAGTGTCAAGCCATAACTGTAGATAAGAAACAGGTGATTGGATTAGTCAAAATTATCAGGTATCAGCTTGAGTTTGTCATCTATTTAATATTAGCAAGAAATTATTTTCACCATTTAACAATAAGTCTGAAATCATGATTTTAGAGTTTAAGTGGTAGTGCACACAATGCTGTTGTTTCAAACTAATAAGTGTATTTTTCTACTCCCTAAGGGTGTCAAACATTTTGATTTCATACCAGAAAGCTATATCATACCTGAGGAGTTTAATGAGTTTAATGGTAAGTATTGTTAAGAAGGATCTGTATCACTTAATGTATGACATTAACTCTTATATGGTTGGTTTGTTCTGTCAATCTTGTGGATGACATGCTTATTTATTGATCACATGCACTTACCATGCATTACACCATTTTGTTGCAAAAAAAGAACTTTGAACTTCATTCTGTATACTTGTATCTGTTCTCCTAGCTGCATTTTTAAAGGATAGAAGGCCATGGATTGTAAAACCAGTTGCATCTTCACGTGGCAGAGGAATTTATCTAGTCAATCATGTAAGTGTATTGAGAACTTCTTGCATTACCCATGTTATTGTGACTGTTTGAATGTTTACATAACAAAAAGTATGTTAATGCTCCAGATGTTGTATCTTTCTTATAGTTACTTATTCTGACTTATGTATCTCTTGATCAGCAGATCCTACTCAAATACATTCTACCAAATAAGTTGTTTTCAATTGTTTTAAAACTTCTTTGGTTAGGTCTTTTTCTAGTGGATGTAAGTTATTTCAGAGGTTGCTAAAAGTACTTGTTGATCTTTCATTGCAGCCAAGACATGTTCCACTTGATGACAATCTCTTAGTTTGCAAATATATCAGTAATCCATTGCTTGTTGATGGTAAGATTGATATACTTGGCCCTAGCTCAAGAAAAGAGTGTTATACATGATGTTCGATGTCTTGTCCACTGAAATTGGTTACCAGTTTTGCTACAGTGATTAATGTTTTCAGTATAGAGGTAAACCCTAACCTAAACCCAACAGCCGGTAGCTACGAGTTCAAGCCCTCATCAAAGTGTGAATGTTTTGCTAAGGCTTTACTTTCTGAAACTTTCTTTTGAGGAGAAATTTTTGCTCACTATCAACTTGTCAAATATGACTTATTTAGTTTTCATTTTATATACAATTTGTGATATGCCTTAACAATATGATTATAATGGATATGTGAATGTTGTTGTTTCTATTTTAGGATTCAAGTTTGACCTTAGGCTGTATGTTGGTGTGACATGTTTTGATCCTGTCAGGGTGTATCTCTACGAAGAAGGTTTAACAAGGTTAGTCATGATATTCAAGGAGTTGCTGATACCATGCACTGCATGAAAAATGGTCTGAAGATGGGATATTTAAATACATTTCGGACTTGTCTCTTTCAGATTTGCCACTGTGAAATATGACAGGACAGGAAAAAACATTAAAAATGTATGCATGCATTTAACAAACTACAGTGTCAACAAGAAAAATGCAGATTTTGTTAGGTATGTGTCGTAAAAAACTAAGCTACATGGAGCCTGAGTGCCACAGGAAATTAACTTTGGTTGTTGGCCGACTTAAACAGCTTAACTTTTAATAAAAGTTTTAAGGGCTTGGTAAACCAGATTTCTGAGGCATTAGAGGTTCCAGCAGAGATTGCTGTCATCACTCAGGTTGAAAAAAGTTGGTGTATGAATTTATTTTTGATCTTCTCCTTGCATCTAAATTTTTTATGATTTAGGTTGTCTGTATCCTTTCCCATTTAAAAAAAAAAAAACCAAGCCAACGAATTCTATTCTCAGAAACTTAAAGATAAAAATTGGAATAAGTAGATAAGTATAAGTAGACAAAGCAGTTGCTGAACTTAAATTGTTAACGGAGGATGAGAACCATTATTTATGTTTGTGTAATTAAGGTGTCCAGATCCTGAAGTTGAAGATTTTGGAAACAAATGGAGCATGAGTGCCATGTTGCGTTATCTCAAACAGATTGGCAAAGACACCACAGGTATGCTAGCTGATGAGCAATAGTTGTTTGCAGCTCTGCAATCAGCTTCAGGATCTCCAGTGTTTTAATTTTTTTTTTTCTTGTAGCTCTTATGATGAGAATAGAAGATGTAGTGGTAAAGACCATCATTGCTGGAGAGCTTCACATTGCCTCTGCCTGTAAAATGTTCATGCCCTATGCAGGAAACTGTTTTGGTAAGAAATCTTCCGAGAAAAATTTTGACCATTTAAACATTTTGCTACCGTCTCTTTTTTATCAGTCCTCCTGTCTCTTCTCCTTTTCTTTTTTTTCACATTTCCCTCTCCCCTTTTTCTCCTTTTTCTTTCATTACCCGCCATTTTCCTCTCTCTCTTTTGTCCCTTCTTTTCCCATGCCTCGGCATTTTCTCCCACTCCCCTTCTGCCTTTCATGTTTAAGTGACCAACCCACGTACAGTGTACCTTCCTTGTTCTCTTGGTGTCCTACCCACGTACAGTGTACCTTCCCTGTTCTCTTGGTGTCCTACCCACGTACAGTGTACCTTCCCTGTTCTCTTGGTGTCCTACCCACGTACAGTGTACCTACCCTGTTCTCTTGGTGTCCAACCCACGTACAGTGTACCTTCCCTGTTCTCTTGGTGTCCTACCCACGTACAGTGTACCTTCCCTGTTCTCTTGGTGTCCTACCCACGTACAGTGTACCTTCCCTGTTCTCTTGGTGTCCTACCCACGTACAGTGTACCTTCCCTGTTCTCTTGGTGTCCTACCCACGTACAGTGTACCTTCCCTGTTCTCTTGGTGTCCTACCCACGTGCAGTGTACCTTCCCTGTTCTCTTGGTGTCCAACCCACGTACAGTGTACCTTCCCTGTTCTCTTGGTGTCCTNTTTCCCTCTCCCCTTTTTCTCCTTTTTCTTTCATTACCCGCCATTTTCCTCTCTCTCTTTTGTCCCTTCTTTTCCCATGCCTCGGCATTTTCTCCCACTCCCCTTCTGCCTTTCATGTTTAAGGGACCAACCCACGTACAGTGTACCTTCCTTGTTCTCTTGGTGTCCTACCCACGTACAGTGTACCTTCACTGTTCTCTTGGTGTCCTACCCACGTACAGTGTACCTTCCCTGTTCTCTTGGTGTCCTACCCACGTACAGTGTACCTTCCCTGTTCTCTTGGTGTCCTACCCACGTACAGTGTACCTTCCCTGTTCTCTTGGTGTCCGGTGGCCTCAACGGCCTCCTGCGAACCGGCCCAGACGGTCTTTGCAGTGGGTTCCTCACTTCTTTTCTTCCGTCTAGTTCTTTTCCTTTTCTCTTTTCGGGGTCCTTCTTCGTGTTGTCTTGGGTCTGTTCCACTTTTTGATGCTCTTTTATTCTCCAAGGTAATGCAATCCTGAATAAAGAGCTTCTAACTTTTTAGTAAGTTACGCTGTAGTTTCTGTTAATGCTCCAGCTGATTCTCAGTTTTCATTTCGTAGAGATATACGGCTTTGACATTCTCGTGGACGAGAATCTACGTCCGTGGTTGCTGGAAGTTAATTTATCTCCGTCACTTGCTTGGTGAGTTAAAGTTTCATTTTATTCTTCAAGTTGTATTTTGATTCATTTGATCGATTTTATCTTTACTGTTTTACTTCAAAAAAGGTAAAACAACATGTTGCGTGAACGTTTGAGTAACAGAGTCAAAGGAGCTGTGTGGCTGTTCTTTAACAATTCAAGGAAATGTGGTGTAACTTTGTCTTGTACCTTTGTTTTGAATCAGTCTTGTGTGTTTGTTGATTTGTTTTGCTTCATTCGGTGATTGTGTTAAATTTGCTTGTCTTGTTCATAGTGACTCGCCATTAGATCTGAAGATCAAGTCTCATTTAGTATCGGACATGTTTAATTTAATTGGTGAGTGAGATCTGGTGATTATAAAAATATCTGTTTTTCTTTTGATAATTTTCCAAAGAACTTGTTATTCTGAATGTGTTGTTTTGTTAAGTTTCAAATACATTGCCAACATCAGTTGCGTGCCAGACAGTATTGAACCCGGGTTAGACTAAGTGTGAAATCAGATTTAACATCTAAACGCTTTAAAAGAAAATTCAGTACAATTATTTTTGTCTACAATTTAACAAAAGAATGGAGAAAATTATCCTCAAAAGGCTTTTGAACAAATGGATAAAGAATCCCGGATTAATATTTAACCGTGGGTTAGCGCTAATCAACTTTTGAGCAACTGGGTCCAGGACAATAATTGGTCTAGAAAACTTATGCCATCCTTTCAACCAATCAGATGCAGGTCTGAAACGAATCTCGACTTCCGCTACTCGTGTTTCCCGCGCTTTATTGGCTGCTGTTATTACTTTACTAACCCGGCATGATTGTACGATTGAAAACTGCGTTTGTCGCAATCTATTCTAGATCCTTAACTTTTAGTTTCTATTTACTTCAATCTTTAGAATAAACTGTTTGTTTGTAGGTTTTAAGGCTCATGATCCGATGGTTCGTAAAATTCCCAACCGGCGATTTGTTGATTATCCACCAAAGAACAAATATCAGGTAACAGATTTCTTGAAATTGGAAACATCATTTTCCAATAGAACGATTAAGCTCTGTCATGAAAAATATCTTCTCAATAAGGATCTTGTTAATTTGCTTCGTTCACAACATTATTTTAAACTGCAAGCTAAGTGTAAAAGCCAATGAAAACACTGCCTTCTGACCAGTTAATTTCATGTATTTTAGTTTTCAAGCTGAATCTCATTATTGAAATAGAGCATTGGTTTTTTTCTACAACTTTGTTCCAGTAACTTGAACACTTAATTGAGTCCTTGCGGGCCCAAAATTTGTTTTTTCGATTATTATTAACGACAGTCGTTCGAAAACCACCTTGTTTTTCTACAGAGACAGCGATCAGCCACAGCTGGTGGAGTTGTGGTGCCAAACTCACGACCTTTGTCTTCAGGAACGAGAAGAAAAACTGAAGATGGTTTGTCAGCCGAGGAAGCGAGAATATTACGTCACACGCGCGAAGAATTCTCCAGGAGGGGAGGATTCGTCCGCGTCTTCCCCTCCCCAGACTCCTGGGAGGTCTATGGGTAAAAAACTCAAAACAAATGAGAATAACAGTAAATGAAATATGTTGCAATCAATGATTGACTTGATTTGTGGCTTTGATGAGAAAATAATGAACGTTTTTCTTTGTAATTAACTTATTTCTTCACTTTGCTCCTTTTGCACTTGGAAAAAAACGAAAAAATACAACGCATTTGCTTTGGGGTAAAGAGAAAAATTTAAACAATTTAAGCACCAGTTTTTATCGGAACCCATCTTTATCAGTAAATGTTCATGTATTATGGGAAATTGTAGTAGATGGGTATGTGTCTGGGATCAATATCATACTAATACTATTTAAAAAAACTTTACAAACAGTTTTACTTCGTTGTATTTCTCAATACAAGAGAGGGTTCACTACATTAAAGAATCAGCAAATATGAATAGATGTCCATGTGTTACAAAACTACTGCTCTTGATTATCATTTCAAGTTGCACGCTAAAGCGAAGAGATTTTGTACATGTTCAGCAAACCCGAGAGATAATGACAAATATTCCTTAAATGAATAAATGTCTATATTTTTACGACTTATTGATATATTTTTCTTCCATTCTAGGTCATTTTTGGAGCATCGCACCACTCACAATCATATGTTACAGTCAAAACTGTTTCCTGGAAGGTAAACTCATCTATTAATTTGGTTTTAGAATTGGAACAATTTTCTGATTTGACCAATTAACACTTCCGGCAAAACACTTCGCGGGACCCCTCCCTCCCCCCAGCATATAACTCAGTTTGAATTAATTTTGGTAAACACTGATTTGCTTTACAGAAAATCGTCCCTACAAAGACCGAGTACAGCGAGCTTTTCTTCAGCAAGTGCAAGGGCGAGGTAAGCTAATTATTTGTCATACATTTGTCTTCGTGTTCAAACTCAAGAATACATGTAATCTTGCTTTGAGAGGGAAGTGTTCTTGTCAAGGCGCTTTTTCATTTAAGTCAGGTTGGCAAGACTAATTTTGTCTTAGGGCCGTATCGGAAATTTAAGCCTAGTTAGCAAGTTGGGGTTTTTATGGGAAATTCCAAATCAGTTACCACGCGGAATCTTTCAAGATTCATCTCACTAACCAGATCGGTGTTCATATGTGAAAATTCTTGGCACTTTTGTAAGTAATGGAGATCTTAGAAAAACAAAGACATGGAATTTTTAAGAAAGGAAAGAGCGTTAAGACGAGATCTCGAAAACCAACACAGCCTGTTTCACGAAACTCATTTGGAGAGGCTTTCAAAATGCCAAATTTTTTTAGACTTTATCCCCGCACCAATTTGTGCCTTAAGCTTTTCCCATATTTGTCACCTATTTCCTTAGGTGTATCTATTCAGTTATTTTGTTTATTCATTAAACTATTATATATGCTCTTGTCTCTTTAAAAATTGTCAGAATTCTCCCATCCTTTACAGTTATGTTGGCTTCGCATTCGTTTTTCAGGAGTGTAACCTCGTATGGAGCAGCTCAGTCCAAGGTTAATTTGACGGTTGAACCTGCTCGGGTAAAAACAGATTTATTCATAAGTACACCAGTGGCATTACACTGGTTCAGGAAAATTTGTTGGCCCAAGAAAAATTACAAAACAGATATATTAATTTATAAAGAAAGAGACAATTCGCTTTTGTTTAGTGAAATAATGTACTGTTTTGACGCTTTCGAAAATTGATTCATGCAAAAGTTGATTTTATTTTGACGTAAATATCCTTATTAATTTGTAAAGAAATAAATTTGACTTGCGGATGAAAATCAAGCGAAGAAATTCTCCTCGCAGATGGACTGCAATTTAAGCGATTGCAGAAAAGAAGTCGGAAAAGATTCAGGCCTCAAAATCCGCGTCATTCAAAAAACTTTGTAAACGAGAGAAAGAAATCACATTTTCATGCTGGTAATCTCATCCCTTTTTTTCAGGTTTCGGATGATGACGCTCTTGGTATCAAGGAAAGACTTCTTTGCTACGAGAGAAAACTTGATAGTTGGGTTTGTAATACAACTTTTATGATGTGAGATGAGAGTTCGTGAATGTATAATAAATTGGTTAGTGGTTATGATACATGTAGAATCGATTAGAATTTTAAGACATTCCATCTTCATGGATGCGAGCTTATGAATAAAACGTAAAGATAACACTTTGTTCTACCTTATCCAATAGAGCCCGTCCCTCCTCCGAACGAAGAAAGCCCTTGGCAGCACGACTCCGAGTGCAGGTAATGTTAAAGTTTTGAGCACATATATGACACTTTTAAGCTTTTTTTTGGAAAAACCATGTGCGAAAACACTGTGCAATGTTGTTAACATGCCGCTACTTCCAGCTCAAGTTGTAAATTATTCCGACTGCTCTAAGTTCTAAGTCGTTTTTAAGAAGAAAAAAATCTTAGAAATGTTTGCACGGAAGAATTTTACGTTTCTCAGTCTTGCAGATTTCTAGCGTGCTATTTTATACTACTCTGTTTCGATATAGCTAACTATTGTGTTTCGTGTAACATCATGTGTAAATTGCGATGAAGCTGGCACTCGATGTCTTCACATTTCTTAACAAAATCAAATCCTCACCTGCATCAACACTGTTTGTGGTAATATTATTAATGGCTTGTCACGTGACTTATTTAAGGTACCCTTAGCACCAGCCAAGAAACGTCAGAGAAACCTCGTGATAATTCTATGGCACGTACGACTCCCGATGGACAAGTGGTGACGAATTACATGGAGAGAAAATCGGCTTCTTATCCTGGAGGTTTGTTTAAGTGACTCACGCTTCTTTCTTATTGGTCAGTACTGTACGAATCCCGCCAGTGATCACAACAGAACAAACGCTCATGTGCAGCAACTGTTTTGTTAATTTGCCCGATTGGGACTGATTAAGTTCCCGTTGCTATATCGTGGTTCAATTCTTTCTTGTACAAGCACGAAATACTCCGTTCAAAATACAACTATCATTACGACGCAACAGTGTCACACAGGACTTTTCCAATAGTTGCTTATCGTGACAGTATGAATAACGCGTGTCAGATATGAACGCTGTACGGACCTAGCTTATCTATGAGTTCTCTGTAGCTCTTTTGGTAGAACATGTAACCGCAAATTCCTAACTAGTTAGGGCTTGAATCTTCATTAGGAATCGTAGGATTTTTTTCACGTCTGACGTTCGTGGCAACTATTGTTGGTTATATTTCACTATTCTTATTTAGGAACAAAGCCTTCAATGGACTCTGAGGAAAAAGCACCTCTATATCGAGTGTCCTCATCAGGCCCTCATCCAAGACCCTTCCAAGAAGCCACGCGGGCGCAGAAGCCACCATTACCCAGTAACGGCGAAACAGTGTCAAAACGTGTACTGTCTGCGCAGCCGCGATACCAACCAATCAGAGTGGACGAAATCATGGCAAAGGCAGGAATACTGACGTAAGAGTTCGAATTTTAGTCGATGGTTATGGTTAGCATGGCTACGAGTGGAGTTCTTCCTCAGTTCTTGTTGACTTGTGGTTTCTTGTGAATCTCGCCTTTTTTGAAGTGAGTGACGACGGTGTTGTATTTATACTTGTAGAAAGCTTCAAGCCAGGCAAGCCTTTGCGATGTATCTACAAAGAGTTCAACAAAGGCTGATGCACGAGACAAGGTAGGTATTCAACCCAGAAAATCACCTCTTTTCCCTGAAATTTCAAAGTTCTGCTGACTGTTTTGCTGTAGCAGGCGGATGTCGGGGAGGTAGCCTTAAACCGTGTGGTGTAAAGCGCTAAAATTGCAATCTGGAGCTTCGCTTATTTGGATTTGTTTCCCGGTAGTCTAGAGTTCAACCCCTCCGCTTCACCGTGTAAATGGAGTACGAGTCTTGACTCCCAACAGTCGGGATTTTAAACTGTTAACATTTGATTTACTTTAATGTTATATGGCGCTCTTACAATGGCTAAATTATTTTTTCCTTCACAACTGTTTATTTATTGCCGGTGATTTAATTGAATTTTTCGTATTTTAGCTAAACGTAACCGATATCAAGCTCGGGAGGTGAAAATGTCAAGCATCGCGTTTACTTTTTTTGTTTTCTTTTTTCAGCTATGACTCAGATGATTCCAGAGATGGTGGAGAATCTAAACAAGACAGCCAAATGGTTTGTACAGCTTTCCTTATATTTCTCAATTAAACCTAAAATTTTGCAGTGGTATTTATGTCGCACTGAGACTGAGAAGAGGAGAATCTTATTTATTTCATTTTGTTATTTTCTTTAATCAGAACTTGGTGATTCGTTTTCTGAAGAAGGCTGCGAGCAATTTACAACAGCCTTTCAAAGTTGTGGTACCGAGCCACAAGTTACCACTACATGACAGGTGAGATACCGCTCTAACAGGACCGATGATTATCTAGGGAGGACTTTGGAAGAAAGTTGGTGTCAAGGCTGGTGTCAAGACTGACCAGGCAGCTAGTCGTCGTCAAAATTTTAGTGCGCCATTTTATGTAAAATTTTTATATAACGTTATTAGATGATCGACCGGGTTCGCCTTCCACCGCTCTCCCGAGTTCGGTCTTCATTCCTCTCCGAACGTGGCGTCGTGAGAGGAGCGTGGGCTCATTTCCCGAACAGCGGCTGGTTGTTGCGCGAAGTGATTCTTTATGTATCACTAGATCGACAAGCCAGGCGTTAAGACTTTTCTGTAACGGTTTAAACTTTTTTCGCAGTACAAAACTCAGTATCCTTTATGTTATTGATGTAGTCAGCCATTGCTAGTTCAAATCTTCATCTGGTGAGCTAATGGAGGACGTTTTACATCTCTTATGTAGTAGTGATTACTCGGAAGAAGAAGGGTATTTATCTGCTTTTGTTTTTCCTATAGGCGGAGAATTTTGGCCAAACAGCTCGGAGACTTCGTCCGCGTTTATGGAAAGGTATATTCCTCTTAGCTAAATATTTTTTATGGAGTTACGTTAGGCGTCATTGGGCGTTTGGCTTGGGAGGGTTAGTTTTGCACGGGGCGTTTTCTAAATAGAAACATAAATTTGATATGTTGTTTTGTATGTCGCCACGAGGAAATCCAAATATTTAATGAGCTCCGTGGGCTCCCTAATTTGAACCACTGGTTATCAAGTCCAGTTTCTACTTCAGTATCTGTTAATCATACCTAGAGCGGTATGTTATGTGTCACCCATCTCTATGAACCAGCGATTCTGATGTTACCGGACAGAAATTAAAATTACAATCGTATCATTACATAACAACTTTTGAAACTACATTTGTCAACAGGAGACCATGCAATTTCAGAAGCGAATGGAAATTAACCGGACATACGGGATTTCAAGAAGCAACTCCTTCGCGAGTGAAATCCCGGATGAAGAGTTTAAGGTCTTCATGGCAATTGCAAGGTGAGGTTGTTTATCGAAGAATCTCTGAAGATTCTAAATACGAGGGAGCAATGCGAAAAAAAAAACTGATTGCTTCATTTCTGCAGCGAGACAGAGTTGGAAGATCTTTTAACTACGTACACCAAATTGAACAAAAACGCCAGCGTGTTTCTAGGAGGCCGGCCAGAGAGACGCACGGAGGAGAGTTCTTCCAAGGCACCCTCAAACGACTCTGGTCTGCCCAGGAGAAAAGAAGGAGATAGGAACTCCAGGAGGTAAATACGGCGATTTGTTGTTTTGTTGATGGCAGAAGCTTCCAGCTCAGTGATTATAATTGTAATTGAAGTGAGAATCTTCATCCCCACTAATCTTTGTCCAAGGATTGACTGAGTTAATATCTCTCTGCATGTTCTGACAGCTTAAATCCTACTCCGGAAGAGGACCTGACCAGGTCCACAGAGGACCTCAGTGGCACGGGATCCACGATCACAGATCGACACGCACGGACGCTGACAGCTGTGTCAGCATATGGTACCTCGGTGGCCCTTAACAAAACCCGACACCGTCCAGTGTCGGCCAAGGTTGCTAGTTCACCAGGTGGGTTGAAAGTGGTAGCCGAGAGTCTTTGAAGGTTTCATGTTTTTGGTAAAAAATTTCTACCACGACTTCAGGTATAACGTAATCTCTGACATCTGTTCTCCAACTTGTATGGGGTCTGCCTTGTTGAATTATCGCATCTTTTCACCAGGAGTTGATAGGATAAACCGTGATAGTCGCCCTGTGTCAGCCAAGCCATACTCACGTCAGTGTAAAACAGATGATGTCTCAGGAGACGTAACGAGCTTGGTTGGAGGTGAGGGATCACGTGACTCGCTGAGATGAGAGATCTTTTCGCTTTCCAACCTTACTCAAGTGTTTGCTTAACTGTATGCTTAACTATTAACGCAGAACTTTTGACCTTTCTGTGCTAGTTGACCATTTTCAATATAGCACGTTCGACTTGTTTGCAAGTGAGCCTAGAGGTCTGGGTCGGTCCACTCAGGCGTGGCTTATCAAGAAAAATAATTTCGTATTTTTTGATCTGCTGAACTCGACCCAGTTTCCTTAGATTTGGTCTAAACATATCGAACATGTGCCACTGTAACACGTTTTTGTTCAACTTGTTTACAGGTTTTAGACAGAGTGGTCAGCGAAGTCGCTTATCTTCGGCGCCAGTCCGACGCCTCAGCCAAGGATCAGACAATGAGCCCAAAGGTTTGATAAGATTTGATTGCCATTAAAGTACTCAATTGAAACGAAACTTTCACTACAAGAACTTTTGGCATCGTGTATTTTTCGTCGAGTAAATTCTTCCCTAGTTTAGAAAATTTCAGTCAAGTTTTTTGCAATGATCCATGCGTAAAATGACTTTGTTATCTATATTTTCTGGCGTCGCTCAAACTTAAAGCCATTCCTTTATTCTCTATTTCCCTATGCACCTGTGAACAATCACAACGCAGTCCACGTAGTCTCTTAAGTGCTGATAATTTGAAGTCTTGCCATGACCAATGGAAGAATTCCTGTTGCTTTCCCCAACACAAATTCCGTTTGGTAATAGATAATTTAATCTTTCGCTTAGCAGCCATCTGATGCGGAAATAAATTTAATTCATTTCCAAAGGTCCCAGTGTTGTTGATGAGCACGCAGTCGCCACTGCTCTTCAGCGGCTGGCCAAACGACAAGCTACGCGGCAGTACGCTGCACACAACACCACTGGCCGTAGGGGAAGTAACTGGGACGAACTGTTAAAAAAGATGGACTTCAATCACCAGGTTGAAGCTACCTCCGTGTACAATGAAGACGAGTTTATCAGTGTCGGTGATGAATCCTCTAATCCTTTGTCACGTCCTGACGGGAAAACTCCACAATCCGCTCATAGATCACATGACCGACATGCAAGCGCGAACGCCACCTTCGAAACATTTGTAAACCAGCTCGGCGGCAGTCACGGTCACTTGGCTTGGTTAAACAGTACTGCTGACCAAGGCCGCTCTTGTACTGCCGGTGCACGCCCTTCTGAAGAGAAAACTATTCATGTTGATTTGAAAAGAGAATACGAAAGAACACGAGGAGTAGAAAGACAGGAGAAAAAAGAAGTTGTCGAAGCAGTTAGAAGTCCGGCTGTTTCAAGAGAAGAGTACAACAGACACATGAAAATCCTAAGTCAGAAACTTTCCGAAGAGAAGGTTCGCCTACAGAAGCAGTTACAGCAATATCCATGCATACCACGCCCACCGGCTGCTCGGCCGAACCCAGGCACCAAGAAAGTTCTTGGCCATAACAGAATGATAAGGTAAACACAGTCATTGAGACCTCTAGTGCCGTTTAGTCGTTGTAAACCCCTTGGACCCCTTAAGAGTGACCAGCATCTAATTTCTCCTTACAATATCACCCCTGAAGCGCACATTAAGGTCGGGAGAATAAAGGAAATGATCACCAACTGAAGAAGCTCTTGTTTGTCAAACAAATTCTCCTTGTCAGCACCTTAGGAAATGTATAAAGAACAGTATGAAGAATATGCATACTGTTAGGGTGTGGATGTTAGGGTGTGGCTGTTAGGGTGTGGCTGTTAGGGTGTGGCTGTTAGGGTGTGGCTGTTAGGGTGTGGATGGTGAAAGCCAAACTGTGATCTTCAGTGTCCACCATCTTCAATTTAACCAGGCTTTTGATTTAACAATTGTTTTTCATGAACAGTGTTAATTTACTTCAAACAACTGTTTCATTCGTTTTTGTTTGCATTGTTTATTGTCACTTAGGTTGGCTGCGTCCAATCCTCCGCCCGTGTTTGACGTCATCACCGGTATGACAGACCTTCCAAATGGTGATTCAGTTTGATATCGATGCTGAATTGCCTCGTGAAAATTATCCTTTTGACGTCGCTACTCAGCCAATTGAATTTGTTTGAAAGGGACAGATTCGTCCTGAGGTCATTTTTCCCATTAGTGAAGAAACATTTTACCACTCGGAACTAGCCAATTATTACTTTTTTTATGTAAAATCAGCTGCCCGCAATTAAAAGTAGAAGCTCCTGTACTTTTGCGTGAAGTGTACAGTTTTTCTATGAACAAATTTAAATAAACTGTTTAGTCTCGAGTTCTGAAGAATTTTCTATTCAAAAGAGCTCGCAAAGAATTTCGACTGAAGGTTTCGTATGTAAAATCACAACAAAAATACACATTAAGTTCATCGCACATTTTATTTAAATAAATTACCAATTTCTGCGATGGGAAACCAAGCCATTCAGAAAGCCAGTATTTAAATAAAGCTATCCTACAATCAACCTGGCTTCGTTCAGTTCCACAACGTTTTTCGATACATTCCAGTTAATAAGAATAAATGTGAACTTTCGGTGGAAGAAAACGCCATGGAAACCGCCTGTGCCATGCCACGCAAGCTCTGTGTCACTTACCAACAATTTAAGGAATTTCTTTTCAAATATTAAACTCAGTTCCAAATTGTAAAATCTGACCCAATAATCTATAAATTATAAATCAATTGCAACTGTAACCGAACCATCTCATTTTATTGAAATCCTTCGCGACAACAAGAAATGAGATGTTGAACTGAACCTCAACCCTTGGATTCCCGGATGTGATTGTGACTCTCCTTTTCATATTAATGCAATCTACTGCAAATGAGTGATGAGGTTTTAAACTTAAGAAACTTACTTCGTATCGATTAAATGGGAATAAAGCAATTTTTTAAGCATGGGGACGACGACTGATCAGGTGATGACCGAAAGTAAGGGGAAGCTTTCTTTCAATCACCTTTGAGTCTTATAACAATTAATGAACTGAGCCTCTTACTCTTTAACAAAAAAAGTCGTTGAGTAACCGTGTTCAGTATTTTAAGTTTAGAGCCAGCTGTGGCTGCAAATTCAGTTCACATTCCACGATTATTTGTAAAGTGTTCTCCACTGAAAACCTCCAACATCTAACACTGTGATACCAGAATTCCGTACTTGGACTTCCCACCACTGACTCCAGCCTCCTCGCGGTCATCTTCGCCCAAACTAGGCCATGAGTAAGAGAGCTTTAGTCGTGAGCCTGTGAGATTTGTGTGAAGCAGTGATGTGGCAGGCGACAAGGAGGGAGTAGTACAACGTGACGCACTGAGGTCACACTGCTCCAATGTTCGTAACAGTTCGCCTTGCGTAACATTACCAATATCGTCGCGTTCGGCTGTGGCACAAAAAGAGTAACGAAATATGTTAACCGTACTTTTAAAATTCTTAGATGGTTTAGGAGAGCGAACAGCCAAGAATTCGAGAACAATGTGGAAGCGTTCATAGAGATTTCTTCATACGGCAAGCAACCTTGATTCTGTTGCACGTAACCAAAATTATTTGAGATTCACTTCTACCGAACCTGTACTGACGTGAGCTTTTCTCCTAGCCTTACAAAGTGAGAAAAGCGGTCAACACCAGATAAGTTAACATCTGCACGTGAAACAATGCAGGTATTTATCAACCACTATTCTCCTCAACGATTAAGTAGGCGTTTCACAAACTCTCACCTGAGATTTCTCCTGTGGTCTTGGTTGCAATCTCCAAAGCTGTTGTCAAGTCCCACATCTAAATCATCGCAAACAAATCGCATCAAATTTGATTTACTCAAAGAAGATTTTCGCTTCCATAAAAGGCACCTAAGATTACACGTAATCACAGCAACGTCAGGCTACGGGCCATTCGAAATATTCTCCAAGTATAGTGTCTTAAAGAAACAAATAAATATCCAAATTCTCTAAGTCCTAAGGAAGCTATATCACATCGGCTTTCTAACTTATATTGCGTTCCCGTTATTCCGATAAACCGTACCAACTGCCTTGGTAATGATTTCATACCAACTTATGCATAGCGGAAAAACACTCTGCATTGATTTCATAATTTCTTACTTGTATACATCCATTTGAATGGCCCGTTATCAGGAACCGCCGAGGTCTGGATCCCATTCTGCTAGAAGCGTCACATTCATGAACACAATATGAAGTTATGTTACTACTGTCCACTGAACGAATCGTGCAGACCCTGCAAAACGAAAGCAACAGTTTAAAAAAGCTCCACACGCTAAGCTATTTTGTTGAGTCTCAGCCCAGCGGTTTGGTAACTGGAAATGATGCCATCCAGTGGCTACGATTTTAAGCCAGCTTGTTTTAAGCGAGCGAAACTAGAGTTAGTGTTAAGTATTGATTAAATCCGCACTTTTCGAGACTCTTTTATAGAGAATTCTTCATTGCAGAACGGTAAAATCGTACAAATGTTAATCCTAATTTATGCTCTTAGCCATGAAAAAGGGAAAGCATAGTTGTCTAACCCTGGATCCACGCTAATCACCTCTTGCTTATAATTTTCTTCCTTCAGTTCTTGGTTTTCCACTCAACCAGTAACCAGGGATACTCTCATTATTCTTAAGTGTTCCGGAGCAATTTTAAAAGCACTGTTCCCTTCCACACAGGAAAACTTCGAGCGACAAAATAGCTTTACTGGAGCTCATTCCTTGTAAAGTGTAAAACCATCTTATTTTCATGTTCTATATTTAGCGTAGCTTTAGAGAGCCACGACTGCTGGGCTTGGATTGATAGACAAGTTTCAAGTCAATTTTGTTACCTTTTTCCTGTTGAGGAGAAACGCACAATCACGTGATCGGTATCAGGTACGAGCTTCTGAATGAACACTTGTTGATCATCACGCTCGCCGAAAGGGCCTGGGAACCAAAAAAGGAAAATACGATTTTCGCGGGAAAAACTTGTTAAAAAATAATTCGACTTATGAAAACGCTTTTACACAAACATGGACGACAAAAGTTCAGGTGATGGGATTCTCACTCACCGATGCCATTACCAGCCAACGCACTTGGATGGGCGTCCTGCGCCTCCAGGGAAACAACGTTAAAAGAGGCGAGGGGCGTAGAACCTGGCTGTGTGGATATCATGCCCCGAAAACGCGTCACGTTCCACGTACGCACGTGGTTGTACTCGGAGCAAATGGAGACAAGGTTTTTCTCACTTAGCATGACCTTTATAACGGGGTTCCGGTGTACCATGAATGTCTGGAAGAGCTGTGGTCCGTGGCCCACAGTCTCGGGATGTTGAACGATCACTCGAACTATCCCTGAGCTTGTGCCGTATGCGATCTCGATCCAGTTACCACTTAAACCTGATACAGAAACAAAATGAAACAAACGTTCCAATTTGGTTAAAAAATAGTCTGGGTTTATTTGCACAAAACAAAACTCCACAAAAAATCGACTACCCCAAAATATCCAGGACTTTGTCCACACCAAGGTTCCAAGTTAAATCTCAGGGACGTTTACTTACACGTCTTGGGTGTTAGATACACACTGAGTGCAGTCACCATGTCTTCGTTCGGATCTTTATACAGCTCTGTCACCAGAAGATCGTTATCCTTCATTCTCAGCGGGAACTTTTGCATATCTGTCCAGCAAACAAACTGTTGCTTAGGCTAACGGAGCGAAACGACGCAATTGATGCAACCAAGAGCTTAGAGAATCTCTTGACTTCCTCTTTTAGTAAGAGGTAAGTAAGAGGTAAAGGCTAATAGTTTCTACCCACAGGTATCAACGAACGCTTTTCATTCCACTAATTTATTCGTGTTTTTCTCGTTGCCATGTTCCCACCAATAACGTAGCTCCATTTTCTGCTTTTAAAAGCACACACAACCCACAATTCCTCCACTCACTCCGACGAAGGGCTAACGCTCGAAACGTCAGCTTTTATAATCGTAACGGTGGCCAATTTACCTTTTCAACTTTGTTGATATACTCAAATTATTAAGTAAGAGGTAATTCGCTACCTCAAAAGATAGATACCGAGTTTGATTTTTAAACGAATTTGGGAAAAAAGTGTTATTAAGTATTTCTTCTAGTTTTGTAGGACTGTTTTTCACTAACGACGGAGTCAGAGTTTGGTTGGAGTTGTACCACCGCTTGCGACCAAGTGAAAAGACCTTACGACGTACCAATGTAATAAATAGAACCATTTGTACAACCAAGAAGAAGGAAGGAACCGGCGGTGTCATAGCTGGAAATCGGCGTCACTTCCTGGATCTAAACAAAGACAGTAAGAAACGTACACGTTACAAAAGAGCTCAAGAGGATTCAAATATGTGGCTCTAAGAGTTTTAGCAAAGAGCAGGATGTAATTTTACTGTATCTATGAATCTTATGTAGATGCGTTATTAACCAAGCGTGAGGTCAAGATGGCTGGATATTAGCCGAGTTTTTTTTTTAACCAATTTTAATGGACCGAGACGAAGTCGAGGCCCATAAAAACGCCAATAAAGAACGAGCCTAATATCCAGCCATCTTGACCGAACAAGCTTGCTCAATCAAGGATTTCTTGTTAAAGCAAAAGATATTTCGCTTTATCAACAATCAAGAATGACTTGTTTATTCCGAGAGCTGGGAAAGAAAGCCAACTATATTTTTAGCACAATAAACTCACAAGAGTCGTTGATTATTTCCTTGTTTTCACTGTCTTCTGCCGCTTTTTGTGACTCCATAGCCGACATTGTCCAAAAATTACGAACTTTGAAAGTACGCACCACGCAATGTTTTTCTAACGCTGATCTAAGCGGGCAATCGCGAGCGGGCAAGATGGGCCCATCTTTCCCCCTCAGGTAGCCAATCAGAACACAGGATTCGCTTCGTACTACCCAAGGGCGTCGCCAGCGGTATAATAATATCAGATATTGTTTCATACCTGCCAATGCTGTGTCATTGAATTCCAAACCCCAATTTTTCCTGTGTGGCTTGTGGCTACAAGTTGGCTTCCAATGAAAAACAGAGCATCTACAGTGACACCAAGATCAAACGTCCCTGTTCCCAAGGAAAAAACAAAACAATATTTTGTAAATTGCTTTAAGCCACAGTGCCGGATATAAAGCTACTATGTAGTTATTAGAATGACCTTTCAACTGACCGAAATTTTTCCTTTTTTACCGTTGGACTACAAGGTATGACCTGACAACAGAAATGACAGTCACATTTACCATGAAAAGCCACTAAGACCTTGTCATTGATATACCTCTACTAGAAAGGCAACCAAAAGATGCACTTATCAACTCACCAATTTCA